GCTCAATGTCAATGGATTGGGCCGCGCGGAGAAGCAAGAGGGTTTGCAGGAGTGGCTTAACAAGTCAAGGGGAATCGTAATACTTACAGACACAAGGTTGCAGGAAGACCACAACTTCTGGACTCAAACAGGGTCGGAGGCGAGGGCAGTGGTCTCGTCTGCTGACACGGCAGGAGGGGTGGCAGTGTTGAGCTTTAACAAAGAGGTTGTTTTCAGTGATACCCGTGTACATGAGTCGGGAAGACTGGTAGCGGTTTCTGTTCGTTGGAGGGAGCTGGCATGGACGCTGGTAGCAGCGTATTTTCCTGCTCAAACAACGACAAGGGGGGCCTTCTACAGAGAGTGCCTGTCAGTTTTTGTGGACACACTTCTGGCCTCGGGTCATCTGCTGTTGGCGGGCGATCTGAATATGGTGGCTGACCCTATCATGGATAAGACATCAAAGGGGGGTTCGGATGCGGAAAATCAAAGGGTGCTGGACTTTTTTTCGAGGTGGGACCTGAAGGATGCATTCAGAACGTTATATCCGTCGAAGCTGGAGTATACTTTTCTTGCGAGGTCGACGATGACGAGCTCGCGTATTGATCGCGCGCTGGTTTCGGCCTCGTTGTTACCAATGTTGGCGGATGCGTATCATATGGCGACTCCGGTGGGAGTCACTGATCATTGGTTTGGTGTCACCACAGTGCTGGCGGCAAAGACGGGAACAGAGGGGGGACCTGGGTTATGGAGAATGCATGCTGCGCAAGCAAGCAGTCCGGGGGTGCGGAACACGATTCAGAAGGTGCTACAAAGTCAGTCAGGGCAGGGGGGGAAGAAGCTGCAGTCCACCTTCACCATGCTGCAGGCCAGCCTCAAAGCCCATGCAAGGGAGGAGAGGAAGAGGATTGGGAGAACCATCGCTCACCTGGAGGATAGGGTAGCTGCGTTGAGACAGGAGTTTATGGCGGATACGGGTTTACAAGGTAAGTTTGATGAGCTGGTGAAATTCGAAGCGCAGCTGAAAGCATACAGAGACAGCCAAAGGAAGCGGAAGCAGACGATGGCAGGAGTAGGAGAGGAAATGGCTGGGGAGATTGCGACAAAATTCTTAACCAGGAGGATTGCGTCCAAGAAAGCAAAGACGTTGATTAAGATGGTGGTTCATGACGGGAGATGCTACGATGGGGAAAGAGAGGTGCTGTCGGCAGCATCGGATTTTTTCACCAAACTTTTCCAGGGTAAAACGCAATCTGCTGAGGTGGAAGAGTGGCCGATAGACCCGCAGAAGGTTTTGGATGGTGAGGGGGTGAGCCGCTTAGCTGCGCCATGGTCGGAAGCGGAGGTGAAAAAAGCGATAAAGGAGCTCCCGAGAGGCAAGGCGCCAGGAGCGGATGGTCTGCCGAAGGAGCTGTTGGAAGACAATTGGGACCTGTTGGGGGTCACTGTGATGGACTTCATGAGGGAGTTTGAGGCTACTGCGAAACTGCCGGAAAGCTTCTCAACGGCGGTAACGATCCTTCTGCATAAAAAGGGGGAGAAGACAGATCTGGGTAACTACCGGCCGATTACACTTCTAAGCGCGGTGTACAAGATAGTCGCGAAGCTGCTGGCGAACAGGATGAAAAAAGTATTGCCGCAAGTTATCTCGGAGAACCAGTTCGGCTTTGTCCCAGGCAGGAGGCTTGCGGATGCGGTCAAAGTGGTAGCGGACACGATTGATGCTGCGGTGCAAGGGAGTGAGGACTGGTGCTTACTTCTTGTCGACTTCCAAAAGGCCTACGACTCAGTGTCGCGCACCTTCCTCTTCCGCACGCTGGAACAGATGGGCTTTCCGGAGGTCTTCATTAAGTGGTCCAAAGGGCTTCATGACCAGGCAGCGACACAGCTCCTAATAAATGGATGGCTGGGAAAGAAGGTTGAGGTTGAGTCAGGAGTACGGCAAGGGTGCCCGCTGGCGCCGTATCTCTTCATCTGCGCAGCAGAGCCACTAAGTCAGGAGGTTAAAAGAAGGAAGTTGGGGCTGCGGAAGAGAGGGAAAGGGGACCTGTCATACCTGGGGTATGCTGACGATACGACGCTTATACTTCAAGGCAAGGAGCAGCTGGCAAAGGCGCAGGAGGTACTGGAGGACTTCGGCGTCAGGTCAGGGCTGCAAGTTAACCGGGGGAAGTCAACAGTGATGCGGCTGGGGAGAAACAGGCTGCTCCCTTCGCAAACCGACACGAGTTTCAGCTGGGCAGAAAGGGACAAACCGGAGAGACTGTTAGGTATCTGGGTTACGGCAGACGGGAAAGCGGAGCCGACATGGGAGAAAACGCTGGAGCGGGTCAACACGATACTGCGAAACTGGGAAAAGCTGCACCTTACCACAACAGCGAGGGTAACGGTTCTGAACGCTTACGTGATGCCGGTGATACTCTTCCAGGCGCAAGTCTATCAGCCGCCGAAGCTGATTTGGAAGAGGATTCTGAAGTTATGTCACAACTTCATATCGAAAGGGTGCGCGGATGAGGAGAAGCACTTTATCCTTTGGAGCGAGTTCCTGGCAAACCTGGAAAGGAAGGGAGGGGGACTCGGTGTGATTAACCCGACGGACAGAATCAACAGTCAGGCGTTATGGAACCTCGGGGCAGCCCTGCTGGAAGAGAACTCGATAAAGCAGTGGTTGATGGAGAAGGCGGCGAACATGCCCCTGGGTTGGGCAACATTGCTGGCGCATAAGGCCATTCTTGCTGAGTGGAAGGGAGGCGAGGAGCGGTGGCAGTCGTTGGTGCCGCTCGTATGGGAGAAACAACTGCCGGAGCTACCGGAACCTGCGGACAGGTGGGAGATGGAGAAGGAACAGTTGTGGCTCAGCAAGTGGATTCACTATCAAGGCAGTAGCCCGTTCGGGAAGCAAAAAGGCTCGGAATGTCTGAAGGGGATGACAGTAGGGGACGTACTTCAGGAGGAGTATAACGGTAGTCGGGTGGTGAAAGATTTATGGGCGTTAACTAAGCAGACAGGGAGATCGTCCACGGCGAGGTGGGCGCTTCTGGCCTGGAAGGCAGTCCCGGAAAGCTGGAAAAACAAACTACTCGGGAAGGTGTCGGCGGAGGAAATTGCTGAAACGACTACCCTGGTCAAGGTTGGAAGGGAGACAGGGGGGAGGCAGTGTTACTGGCAAGTGGCGCTGGCGGGGGACAATGAGTTGAAGTGTGAGAGAGTGGAGGTGGACAGTAAAGGGAAAATCAAGCAGTTAGGTGTTGAAGTACAGCCGCCGGAGAGGCTGAGTATGTTAACCCCGATGGTGGCTAAAGGAGGGTATGTGGTGGGGTGTGTAGGTGATTCACTGACGCGACTAAGGACGTCATTTCTGTGCGAGGAAGGGAAACCTAAGGCGCAGAGGAAGCTAAGACATCTGCTCAAGAAATCGGCGCAGCAGCCTAAGCAGCAGAAGAAGTGGGAGGAGAACTGGGGAGGGAAGATTGACTGGGGAAAGGCCATCGCGAAAAGAGACTCGCTGGTGATCCCAGCCAAAGCAAGAGAGGTACTGTTGAGGCTTCACAGTTACAATTTGCAAGTGGGCAGCAGGCTGGCTTTCTTCGGTTCCCGTGCATGCTGCCCATACTGCAAGCAGGAGGAGACGCCAACGCATTGTCTGATGAGCTGCCCGGTGGTTATGGGAATATGTGGCGCGCTTCAGGACTCGCTTCGTCTGATTAACCCAACCAGAGCGGTTGGAACACTGGGAGAGTTGCTATTCGCTGAAGACAGCACATCATCCGGATTTCCGGAATCCACGCTCGTTGCGATCACGTTCAGACACATTTGGCTGGAAAGATGTGACGCGGTCTTCCGACAGAAAACTTTTGAACCCAGACGGGTGGCCAGGAAGATTGGGGCCAATTTCAGGAGGCATGTGCGGATCTACAGTGAGGGGAGCGGCGGAAAAAAGGGACACATGGGGGGGGGAGTTGGAGGAGGACAACACCTGTCAGCTGGAGAGGCGGCAGCGCTGAGCCGCATCTGTGAGCAGGACGAATGTCTGACGTGGAACAAAGCATTCAGCTCGATATGGGAGAGGCCTAGTACCTTTTTTAAGCCTCCGTAAAGGGTCAATAGGGAGGACAGTGCAAACCGTATCAGAGTGGCCTGTGTCTTCCTCTTTTCTCAGTTACGACTGTGGATGTGATGCATTGTATAGTATATTATGTCCCAAAAAAAAAAAAAAAAAAAAAAAAAAAAAAAAGATGCACCATGCCTCCATCCATGCTTTCCAATCCATGGTGCCACCAGCAGCAGCTCCCGCTTCACATTTTCCCCACATTAGCTGCCCTATGCAACTGAACCTCGAGGGATTTGCTCTTGCACGTGTTGTGCAAGTGCAACCGAGAACTTCCGAGAACTGAATGTCGGAATAGGCGTCAGTCAGCTCGAAGTTGCCTTCTGCTCGCCGTGAATCCTGCCGCTGTTTTTTTCTTCGAGCTGTCTCTTGTGATGCTAGCTACGAAGGAAGGATCCAACACGCCCCCCTCCAACTTGCCTCTCGTGCCTGAAATCATGGCGTCGACGCAACTAGTACTGGCAAGCATGGCTCCCAGTGTTTCCTACTGGATCGCTGTACAGTCGTTCGTACTGCAAACGATGCACATATTCTTCATTCTTTTGCTTCGAATTCTTATTCAATTCGGAAAAGGAGCGGAATTAAGAACGTTTTTAAACTCCGCTGGTCTTCACATCGTAGTAGGTCACGCTGACAGACTAGCCCTCGAGTCGCCATCGTTATTACTAACTAGCACTACTTCCGCCGATACTCCTCGAACTAAGCCTCTCCTGGCTCCTCGCGACGAGGGCGATAACGCGAGACTGACTGTAAGCTTTTCGTTTTTCATCCAAACCGTCGATTACACGGTATACTTAATTAGCAAGGCAGCCGTCGTACCTGCTAGCAAATTGCATCTTATCTGCTGGGAAAAGCTACTGAGCTAAACTCTCTTACCTTTCTTTATTTTTTCGTCTCACTCCGTCTCCGTCAGATCGTGTTGGACCTGGACGAAACCTTAGTATGCGCGTACAACACGGAAGACGTGCCGGAATCCGTCCGTCAAGCAGCCGCCGCCAGCGGCGTCAGTAGCTTCGAGCTCGAATGCTCCACAGCGGACCTCGTAAGTTCTTTGTTTCTCACCTCTCATAATCAGCCCCTTTTATCATGTATTTGCAGTCTCTGTTAATTCACATCCCCGCTATAGTCATTGTTGTGATACGCTCAGATCCCCTCGTACCACCTCTCACCACCCTTCCCCGTTCCACGTCATTTCGACCGAGCGCAGGACGCGAGCGGGGAACCCGAGAAAGCGCGGGTGACGGTGTTCGAGCGCCCAGGGCTGCGGGAGTTCCTCAGGCTCGCCAGTCGCCTGGGCGAGCTAGTCCTCTTTACTGCCGGGCTGGAAGGTGAGGTGGGGTGAGGTGTGGTTGAGTGCGGTTGGGATGGGATTGAGCGGGGAATTGGAGAGGGCGCGGATGACGGTGTTTGAGCGCCCGGGGCTGCGGGAGTTCCTCAGGCGCGTCAGTCGCCTGGGCGAGCTCGTGCTCTTCACCGCTGGCCTGGAAGGTGCTGTGGGGTTGGCATGGGTGCGGTTTAGTGCGGTTGGGTGTGATTGGTGGCGGTAGGTATGCGGTTGGGTGCATTTGAGCGAGCCAGTTGATTGGGCGAGCTGGTGCGCTCCATGGCTGGGCTGGAATGTGAGCCGACTGGGTGAGGTACTGTGAGGAGGGGGGAGTTGGGATGAGGTTGTGAGGTGGTGCGAGGCGGTGCAAGGTGTGGTGAGGTGGGGTGAGGTGGGGTGAGGTGGGGTGAGGTGGGGTGAGGAGGCATTTACCCGTGTTACGCATTCCATCCTTTTCCTGCGTGTGGCAGGGTACGCTCGTCTGCTAGAAGAAAAAACTGACCTCTGTGATGTCTTGAAATTGTCTCGTCTTGCCACGTGTGTGGCAGGCTACGCTCGGCCGCTAATGGACAGAATCGACCCCGATGGTCTCATCTCAGCTCGCCTCTACCGCCCCGCCACCGTCTCTATGTATGCATGCCCCTCATGTGCCTCCTCTCCATTTATGTATGCATGCCCCTCATGTGCCTCAGCCTCTCCATGTATGCACGCCCCTCATGTGCCTCAGCCTCTTCCTTTCATAGGCGTAGAATTGCACTTGCTTGCTGCCACTGTGACCACCTATACCCACCCCCCCACCCCCCACCTCCCCCCCCTCAACCCCCTCTCTCCCCGCCTCATCCTTCTCCCATTCTATCCTCGTTATTCTTGCACATGAAACCCCAGAGGCTCAAGACAGCATGTGAAGGACCTATCAGCGTTGGGGCGGGATTTGCGCCGCACGGTGATCATCAACCAACAACAACCCCTTCGCTCTCCTTGCTTCCTTTTGAGTCGACTCAAATGTCACCTCGTTCTCTCCTCCCCTTTGCATGAAATCTCAGAGGCACAAGGCAGCATGTGAAGGACCTGGCAGTGTTGGGGCGGGACCTGCGCCGCACGGTGATCATCGACAACAACCCCTTCGCCTTCCTGTTGCAACCAGTCAACGGTGTGCCCTGCGTGCCTTTTTTCGGGGGCGAAGGGTCAGACAGACAGGTGAGCGGTTGCTATGGGCTGGGCAGGCAGGGGAGTAGTGGTGGCTGCATGCCCTTCTTCGAATGACAAAACGCATATATATATATATATACATATATACATACATACATACATACATACATACATACATACATACATACATACATACATACATACATACATACATACATACATACATACATACATACATACATACATACATACATACATACATACATACATACATACATACATACATACATACATACATACATACATACATACATACAGACAGACAGACAGACAGACAGACAGACAGACAGACAGACAGACAGACATACAGACAGACAGACAGACAGACAGACAGACATACATACATACATACATACATACATACATACATACATACATACATACATACATACATACATACATACATACATACATACATACATACATACATACATACATACATACATACATACATACATACATACATACATACATACATACATACATACATACATACATACACGCAGGCACGCACAAACACACATATATGTTCTCAAGAGCGGTTGCTAGGGGTTGGGCAGGCAGGTGAGCAGTGGTGGTTGCCGTACAATTAGACCCTGTCCATGCACCCACGCGTGCGCCCCTTCCTCTCCACCCACTTCCACTCCCCGTTCCCCTCTCGTTTCCCCTCTCGTTTCCCCTTCGCCCCTCCAGTTGCTGCAAGTGCTGCTCCCACTGCTCGAGACCCTGTCCCTGCACCCAGACGTGCGCCCCTTCCTCTCCTCGCACTTCCGCATGCCCCTGTGGCTGCGAGCGCATGGGGTGCCGGTGGTTAACCACCACGCAGCGTAGATTGGGAGGAGAGCATAGTTCATCAGCCTTTGGCACCGGTGGTTAACCACCACCACCCAACGCAGAGAGAGGCTGACAGTCACCCAACATGGATTGGGAGGAGCATTGTTCATGCCCCTGTGGCTGCACGGCGCGCCCATGGAGTTCAGGTGGTTAATCACCATTGAAGGTAGATCCGGTGTGTGCGTACTGCTGTTGCTGCAGTGCTTGGTCAAGGCGCTGTCGCTCCACTGCTCAAGCGTGCGTCAGAAGAAATGGTCCCATCCGACATACGGTACCTGACCAACACACATGGCCTTTGAATAAATGCATGATTTACTGACTGACAGGGTTCTATTGCGGGCTCAGTGGATTCGTATATATACCGTCATCGCCCGGATAGTAGACATATATGTCTTATCTCGTACACTACTCAAAATGCTTGGGTTATCTTGTATTTGGGAGGTCTTATTAGTCTTATAAATGGGAAAAAATATAAGTACTCCGTAACATTTGCAAAGTGTGTAGAAACCACCCAGGGGCCAGATTCATTGAAACAAGATGACCTCGGTGGTGATGCATGCAGTGCCCCCACCCCTCTTGCCACGTGAGGGATGCAGCAAAGCTGCCACTGCTGGCAACATCCCTCCGTGCTGGCAGCATCGTCGTTTTGCTGCCAGCAGCGCATGGATGCTTCCAGAACGCTGCTGGCAGCACGATGGCAGCGTGAGGGCTGTCCTCTACGAGGAGATTCCTCCTAGAGGACCGGCTCGGCACCTTTGGAAAGGACACTCTGGCTGGGGGGGGGGGTAGTTGTTGGGCTGAAAAAGCCCTTAGGATCTTTGCAGGACAGAATTCAAGGGTAGGACAATGTAATAGCGGAAGCGTTTAATAAAAAGGATTGTGAACCACCTTGCGCTGGTATGCGAGGGCAAAGTTGATTGATTAAAACAAAGAGATACAAGCTTTTATAAGGATACAAGGAATATGAAGAGATACGGTTAATAACCGTTTTACTATTGCTGTTGCGGTTCGATACAGTGTCGACTCGGGCAACTGCTCAGTAGCGAGTCAGTTGTTTGTCCTTGCTGTCGCGCTGCATTTGTCAGGTCAAAGGTCGCTGACCTTTGACTTTCGCGTAACCTCCAGCAGTTGTTTCAACCTCCGAGGGTTGACTCGCTGATGCTTCGGTATGATTCGCTTCGCTTCTGTCTTGGTGTTTCGACACGACAGAGGCGCTTAAATCAATTGTTTCCAACACTCCCCTTCGCTTCTGGAGTGTCGCTGCTGATGACGTGGCTTTGTCCAGTCAGCAGCATGCAATATTCGAACTTCGACTTTCCGAGCTTCTTGGTCAAGTAATCAGTTGCCATCTCGGATGTGGGGCAGTAAGACAGCTCAAGTCTCCCCTTCTCGATCTCGTCTTTTACGAAGAAATATCGCAGGGCGATATGCTTCGTCCTGTTCGCGAATCCGTTTTTGTTGGCTATGCGAATTGCCGACTGGTTGTCGCAGAACAGGGAGAAGTTGGGTAACTGAGCCAGCTTCGCTTCCTCCAGGAGTTCGCGAAGGTACAATCCTTCCTTGGTGGCTGAGCAGAGTGCGATATATTCTGCTTCGGCTGAGGAGAGAGCGATTAATCCCTGTTTACTCGACTGCCACGAGATAGGTCCGATAGGCTCGAGACGGTAGATGTAGCCTGTGCGCGAGCGCCTGTTGTCAGAATCACCGGCGTGGTCGGCATCGACGTAGCCGATTAACTTGGGCGTTGTAGTTCTGTTCTTGTAGTAGATCAGGCCGATCGTTGGAGTACTAACGAGGTAGTGAAGAGCGTGGTCTAGTTCCGTCATGTGTTCAGCTTCGGGCCTTTTGAGGTGGGTGGCGAGTTGACTTGCGTAGTATGATAGGTCCGGGCGGCAGGTGACAGCTGCGAAGAGAAGACATCCCAGCTTTCTCTGGTAGTCGCGTATGCCGGCGGGCTTTAGTGGAGCGGATTCTTCCTTGTTGTTTCCTGCCGTATAACGGTATGGCGTAGAGATGGTAGTTGGCGTGAGTGCGAAGCGTTTGGCGATGGTATCGGCATATTTTGCGGCGTTGAGGTAGATCGCACTTTCTCCTTCCTGGATATTGAGACCGAGGTACTGCGTGACGGTAGATGAGACTGTGAGCGTGAGGTCTTTCTGTAACTCCCCTTCGAACCAGGTAGTAACGTTGTCGGTCGACCCGATGTAGAGTAGATCATCTACGTAGACGATCAATAGAATGTAGTCGTTGCCTTTCGTGAGCCGGTACATGCCTTGGTCGTGCGGTAGCTGCTGGAATCCGATGCGAGTGAGTCGAGCGTGTAAGTACTGCTGCCACAGTCTCGGGGCCTGTTTGATCCCGTACAAGGATTTTTGCAGCTGACAGACTTGGTTGGGCTCTCCGTGGGAACCGTGTGGGAGTTCGACGTAGATTTCGGCGTCAACAGGTGCGTAAAGGAATGCATTGGCGACGTCGATTTGCCGCAGTTTCTTTTTCTTCATAGCGGCGATCGCGAGAAGAATCCGTAGTGAAGTGTGTCGGCTGACCGGAGCGAATGTCTCGGTGAAGTCACGTCCATGCTCTTGATCGAAGCCGCGTACGACCCATCGTGCCTTGAACTTGTCAATGGTACCGTCTGCTTTCGTTTTCACACGGAAGACCCACTTCCCGGTGAGTATTGTCTTGTTTCGTGCCACGCCGATAGGGACAACTTTCCAGGTGTTGCGCTCCTTCAGTGCTTCGAGTTCCTTGTCCATGGCTTCACGCCATTTTTCCCTATGCTTCCCCCCCGAGCCTGCTGAACTGTGGTAGGCTCCTTAGGAGTTTCGGTGCCGTGGACTGCGGTGACTAGGCCGAGTATTTGAAGGCCACTCTGTGTGTAGCGGGGGAGAGTTGTGTCCGCGGGATAAGCTGCTTCGTCGCCTGTTTCTGGGTCAGGTATGAAGTTGGGCCCTATGCGTTCTGCTTCGTTGGTGTTGACTTCTGCGGGTGTAACGTAACCGGTGTCGGCGAAGTAGAAATAGGTCTCGGCGTTGACGCTTTCGCGAGGATTTTCGGCGTCCATCGGGATAGGCACGGAGCAGTATGGGAGTGGTCCTGCTTCTTCCGAGGCGTTATCCACGTTCTGCTCGTCCCAGTCAGCTTCGTCTGCTGCCGAGGCGAAGACTCGATCACCACGGAAACCACCTGTGGGGTCCCGATCTTCTTCCAGGTTGGCAAGATATGTCGGAAGGGTGAGTCGTTCGTAGAAAATGACATCACGTGCTGCTACTGTTTCTTTGGAGTGGACGTCGAAAATCTTCCACGCGTTGTAATTTCTTTCGATGCCCAGGTGTAGTCCCCACTGTGCGCGTTGGGAAAATCGGCCGGCTCGTGCAGATTGGGGTCGGTACTGTACCATGCAGCCGAAGACTCTTAACATTTTTGTGCTGCCCTGTTTTCCTGTCCACAGCAGGTGCGGTGATGCGTTGTTCGGTAGTGATGACGACGAGAGCAAGTTGTGCAGCATGACAGCGTGGTCCATCGCTTCAGGCCACTGGTGATTGGGCAGTCGCATGCCACGCAGTAATTTGCGCATGGTGTTCTGGAGAGTTCGATTCATCCGTTCCGCCACGCCTTTGTTAGAATGAGAACGAGAGAATGAGTGGACTATGAAATGAAGTGAGTACAAATATGAAACCCTAATGGGTTGCACCCCCTATGGGATACCCCACTATAGCCTACACAACAGCATAAGCTATAATGTTCTGACACACCCCCATAGGCAAAGTGGGGGAGAACAAGGGGTCACAAGACCAGTCAAGCAAAGCAAAGCAAAGCAAGCTCAGGGTGGATCACAAAGTCACCACACAGTCCGAGCACAGGGTCAAGGCCACACGGCCAGTTCACATGCAAGAGTACACACATATATATAAAGCTAGACAAGCAAGAGCAGGTATATATATATGTGAGAGTACAAGCAAGGTCAAGAGGAGAGCAAGTGAGGCAAGACGGGCACAAGACCCAGCTGAGTGCAGAAGCGCTGATGATCACAAGGCGGAAGTGCCTTGGTGAAGACATCAGCAGTGTTGGCCTCAGAGGCCACGTACGCAAGCCGCAACTGTCCACGTTGCTGTAGCTCACGAGCAAGGAAGTAGCGGAGAGCAATGTGCTTTGTTCTGTGCTCTAGTCGCTGCTCTCGACACAATGCCAGCATGGCCTTGTTGTCTACGTACAGGACTGGAGGAGAACGAGGCGGCTCTCCAAGGTCGGTCAGCAGGTAGGTGAGCCAGCGAAGCTCCTGTGCAGCCATGGCCCCGGCGTAGATCTCAGCCTCACAACTCGAGCCAAGAACAGAAGACGAGCGAGTAGCCCGCCACGAAACAGAGCCGGAACCAAGGCTGAAGGTGTAACCCTGTGACGACCGCTGCGTAGCCTGGTCGTCAGCCCAAGAAGCGTCCGCGTGCCCAGTGAGGACCACTGGACTCCGCCCTCCAAGCACTAGCCCCATGCCCGACGTACTGCACAAGTAGCGCAACACCCTCTTCGCTGCAGCCATGTGCTCTGCTCTGTGTCTCCCAGGAGCAACATAGCGTGCAAGAATGCTAAGAGGGTATGCAAGGTCAGGTCGTGTGCAGGTCATCAGGTACATGAGGCAGCCAACAAGCTCTGGGTACGGGCCACTCGACTCTACGGACTCATCCGAAGGCAGAGCTGAGAGCGAGTGGCGAGTAGACAGAGGAGTGGCCTGAGGCGAGGAGTACGTGAAGCCGAAGCGCTGAAGGACCTGCTGCACCATGTGTGACTGAGTCAGGGTAATGGTGCGGCGTGCTCTGTCCCGGGTGATCTGCAAGCCAAGGTAGCTGCGCAGTTCACCCAGGTCTGTGCACGTGTGTCTCTTCTGCAGCTCGGACTTCACGTAGGCGAGTCCAGCAGTGTCAGCTGTGGCAAAGACCAAGTCGTCGACGTACACGAGGATGTAGAACGGCGGCAGAGAGGTGTCGGTGCGTAGAAACAGC